ACCTTGATTTGTATATACAGGGTTGCTCTATATTTACTGACATATAGATATTCGTTATTTATTATTTTTTTTTTCTTATATACATTCATCAATAAAAGGTTTAGAATGAGAAGAGTAATACTTATTGTATTCTATATGTAATAGTAAAGGATAAGATTGAAATTCAATATTTGTTCGATGTCTACTAATAACGAAGTTGCGACACTATGCCTTTTAACAATAGAATTTACTAATCGAGACTAAAGAAGAAGAAAGAAAAAAGAATAGAAAAGAGGAGGAGAGAGGGGGGGGGCGTTTTTTCTCATTTGTTCATTCTTCCATGTTAAGTGAATTCCTAGTCACTATGCCCCATCGTATACTCCCACTTGATGTCAATTGTTATTCTAATCATTCGCGTCGTTTGATGATTTTTTTTTTTTTAATATTAGTTATATATATATGTGTGTGTGAGAATTGATTGCAGTAAGTAAATGAAGGAGAACACAAGAAGAAGACGAAGAAGAAGGAGGAGGAGGTGAGTTCATCGTATATATGTATACTATCACATGATGAACGACATAAAGGTCTAGCGAATTTGTAATTGTATACACTCAAGTGTTCGACAAGCGTTAAATACGTATAAGAGAAAGAAAGAGAGAGCGCAAAGGGCGAGTAGATCTATAAATTATGTTTGTGTTGAAGGAAAAAAAAAAAAAGGAGAGCAGAAAAGTGTGTGTGCGTGAAGTGGCTATTCTTGTGCGGTAATGGCGGCGAAAGAAACGAGAAGAGAGAGAGAGAGAGAGAGAGAGAGAGAGAGAGACGAGAAAGCAAAGGCAATCATTTGTATACTGTATATATATAGAGATGTATGTGAATCAGTATGAAAAGTCCAGCTGCTGATTTTTTTTATTTGAGAATTTGTCTTTTCTTTTATGATATGTTGTTTTTATTTCCTAGATGATGACATTTGTTTTTCTTTAATCTTATATAATGATGATCAATTCACCACCATTACATTCAAATTCTAATAAACGTCTTCGATTTTCAATACCACGTAATAAGAATAATGATTTATTAATAAATTCAACAACAGAAAAATTCGAAGATATCAATAATAATAATCATTATCAAGAAGAAAAAAATTCTATTGATTGTAATAATACAATGAAACAAGAAATTTTAGTATCAAATAATAATAATAATAATAATAATAAAAATAATGAAAACGATACAACTTTATTGACAACAACAACAACAACAACTGTTGAATTTAAAGTTAAAACAACAAAAACATCATCACGTAAACGTAAATCAAATATTATTAATGATATAAATCATGACAATATTAATAAAGAACAACTAGTTTCAAAGAAAAAGGTAATATATATATATATATATATATATAAGATTATTGAAGCGCAAAAGATAGAAAGGAAATTCAATCTCTATTTCTCTTTCACATACGCAGCATCCCCGAGGGATAATGATATCTTGATGTGTGTGTGTATGTTGTGCCTATTTACTTTTCTTCGTGAATATATATATACACTCTTCGCAGCTGCTTTATTTCTTTTTCTTGTTCTGTCCTATGTTTGTCTGCTATTTGTCGTTCTACAAATACTTATCTTAATGAGATAGAATAATTGTGTAAATCTGTCAATTGATTTATTTAAATACATTGTTGTTTTTTTTTTAAAGAAAAATTCACGTATGACAAAAATTGATGATGAATTAAATAATGATCATAAGAAAAAATCAAATTCAAATACAAATGATCAATCATCATCAACAGATGAATCTTCATTTGGTTCATGTGAACCAGGTACAAATGTTGTTTTACAAGGTATTGTGTGGAATGAAACTGATAAAGGTAAATAAAACAAAACAAAACAAAAATCTGTCATTTTTTTTTAAATGTTATTTAATTAGGTGTACTTGTCGTTAATATAACTTGGCGAGGTAAATCATTTTCATGATTGTTAAAATCAATTATATATAAATATGTATTTTTTTTAGGTAAGACTTATGTTGGTGCATTATTAAATACAACAGAACAAAATTGGGCTCCACCACGGTATGTTGATTATGAGAATTGATAGAAAAAAAAAAATTTTTTTTTCTTTTCATTCTTATTAAATAGATATAAATCAGATATTCGTTCATCAATAAAACAAAATCATAATCGTGATCATCAATTACCATCAACATATGAAACAACTGAACGTATTTTACGTAATGGTAAACGTCGATGTTCAACAACAGCAACAACAGTAATACCAAATTCAACAACAAAAATCAATTCATTTAAAATGCCTGAAATACCACCAACAACAAAAATTGATGATAATAGAAAAATAATTGAAAAACTTATTATACCATCATCATTATCATCATCATCATCATCATCATCATCATCATCATCATCATCATCAT